TTCATGTATTTTTGATTGACGAAAACATAGATCATATTCATGTAGACGTTGTAATAAATACCTTCGCGAAAACGATACCACATTTTATTCGGACCACCTCGGCTATTTCTAAGAGATTCAATCTAAAAATTATATAAAATGAATTTTTCTTGATTGCGAAAAGAGTCAAATATAGGATCAGTAGACCGAATTAAGTATTGGAATGGTGATTCCAACGGCATGCATTTCAGGTACATTTTACGAAATTCTGCGACCTAATTAACCGTCTAATATCCATGCACTGCTATCCAGTCATTACCTTATCCTCTTGATTGGTGCGTCCTCTACCGTCTTGATTAAGATATCAATCTTAGATCTATAGTGGGAATACTAAGCCTAGTATAAGATTACTTATCATTCCTATTATTCTCACCGCAATCTGCAGTTTTCCTGTCTTCCAGTGCACCACCACTGCCCTCACTAGCGTCTCTTAACATTTGCTTCTAACCGAGGTCGAGGAAACACTAAAAAACGATTTTAAGTATATATTTTAGATATGTTCATTGAGACGTACACTAAATTCAGTCTCTGAAAGAACGCGAAATGTATTCCGTAGGAAACAAAGTTGAATGATTTGCTCATATAGATATAATCAGGCGATATTAACAGTTCAGCGGTGATAGCCGTGATCGTATAGTGGTTAGTACTTCGCGTTGTGGCCGCGACAACCCAGGTTCGAATCCTGGTCACGGCAAATGTGTATGTCGCGAACACGGCATTGCTGAGCATATTTTTAATACAAAAAAAAAATCACCTCCCAAATCAACATTATATTTTATAATAAACTATCATCTTATGATCCCCTATAATGTTTCTTCAAATGTATGTAAAAAAAAAATAGAAACTTGCATAGAACAAAGGAAACGTAACAATGATATCTTCTGGATTTTTTAAACGCATCTCATCACCAAAATTGCTATTTTGTGCCACTTTCAAGTAACGCCCAAGCATAAAATCTACGAAAAATCGCTCCAGATTACATCCATATAGCTACATGTAAAAAGTATTGCAAGATAAAATATAAAATTAAATATATTACAAATCTGTCAAAATGTATACAAAATTAAACATAAGGGTCACTAAAATATACAACCCTCGAATTATGTCATCAATGTTTGTTATATAAAATGTATTTCTACATGGGCATGCGATTTTTTTCAACTGGTGCATGATCACAAAATTCCTTAATTGAATATACTCGCAACAAAAATTTAACAAAATTAAAATTATTCCGTTGACATTATATGGGTGATTATATCGATTCGATCATATGTCAGTATACGGAAGGATCCATTTTCCTTCCTCTCGGATATTGTGATACATCGCTCCCTCAATAGATATACGTTTTGAAGGAAATGCATCTAGAAAATTTCTTTGTCGCTCATTGTGTATCAAATCAAACATCTACAGTTCAATGTTATAATTCGTATACAATCTTACTAATGACCTGTATAACCGGCGCAGACACAGTATGCTTATTCCCAAATTGTGCCACGACTTTTATTCATTCCACGACTATTTCGCATTATTCATTATAAATCTGTTTTATTCCACAATAAAAATAAAAACCAACAAGTATGACAGAGTTTTGGGCCAAGCAATTATGTAAACAACAAAAATGCATAGAAATAGTTTGATATTTGGAAAAATTGAACCCGTTTTCTTGTATACATATCTGAATTCCGATTAAACATAGGTGTTGATAACGGTCACTATGAAGCTCTCACTTTCAGCTCTAGTAGATGAAAAAAAAAGATGGTCGGTACATTGTCAACAATGATTCCCTGGAATCATACCTTACGATATGCTTTTCATTTTGATGTCAAATATGGGGCCTGGTAGCATTCTGTCCAGAGGTACTTCTATATTCTAGGGATAACTTTAATAAGGGGCGGCATATGATCGGATAAATCATTACGTGTTGCTAACGGAAAATATGTTATGTGTTGCTAACAGACAATATGATGCACGCTCTTTCAACTATAGCAACTAAAATAAATCGTCGGCACATTACGAACAGTCAGTCACTAGAATATTACTCTACATTAAGCTTTTCATTTTGATGTTGAATATGGGGACTGACAATATTCTGTCCAGAAAAGCTACCATTTCCTAGGGATAACTTAAGAATGAGTGGTGCTATCCAAAGCTCTGAAATTTACTTCTTTCACAAAATTGGATACAAAGTTATGTTGGCAGCTCCTTTGTATTAAATTTAGTCTGTTTTTTTCATTCTGCATTAATTCCATGTGATGCTATAAACATTCTATAAGCTAATAATGATGGCGACTATCTTTGTGAACAATCTCTGATGAATAATTCAAATATGATAATGCGATCTATGGTTCTCACTAGGAGTCTGAATCCACACCGACAGCCTGACAATATGTTCTTTTAGTCCATCATTTATCACCCCTTGCATTGTTTAGCAAACATAACTTGACAGCGGCATGGGACAAGAGTTGGAAGGTTCCGTATGGTCTTTCTAGGCTTCAGTGTTGATATCAATGATCACTCTCACGAAGACGGTGGGAAATTGCCAGCGTCCCCAATTGTATTGAAAATGATTAGCAGTGTATTAAGAGCTGTATCAAGTAAGTGTTTTAATGTTCGATATTGCCTACCATCTCATCACTCTGCAGCGTCATTGACCCGATCGAGAAACTGAGCAATTTATTGTTTTATTTAGCGTTGGCAGATTTGAATTTCCAAGATATAACGTGGCATTCGGTATAGAATATGAGATTCTTGATTGTCTCTGTTTCTCTGAACTCAGTCCAAATCTACAGATCAAAGGAATACTCCGTGGAGTGTGGGTTCGAGAAATATATTGGAAACACGGAGCTGAAATGATTACCAAACGATTCCCATTCAAATTTTTGCTAAATCTGTTCGGATAGACTTCGAATATTTGTCGATAATTATGAGATTCTCAATTACCGTTTCCTATGCTTTGCTATTTAATTTTGCCACAGCCGCCAAATTGCACTGAAGACATCCCGAACTCAGTCATCTTAACCTAGCTTCAACTGTAAATAAAATGAAAAAGGTTTTGCGTACATTTTATTGTCGATTTAGGACTCAGATTAATCAAAATGACTATAGGTTTTTCTTTTTCATTTTGTTATCTTCAAACGCATTATGACCAAAAATGTTCATTCATTACTTCAGATAAAGAATGTCAGTCTATCTGGATTTCATTTTCAGTTCAAAACGCTGGGAGCATCGCAATAATTCTTTTTCTTCCTAATTTTTTCTTGGGTGATGTGCTTAGGTATCCATTAAAATCTCAAAGACATGTGAGCAGAACTTGCGACACAATATTAATAAATGGGGCCAATTTAAATTAGTTGAATTGGGACAGGTTGGTCGATTGATACGTAAAAGCTTTCCGTACTTGGTATAACAATCCTTGTCATTGTTTCTTATCAATTTAGCGTCCAACAAGTCCACTTGAAAAATAGCGCATAGATAATGCGATGTCGCGTGTAGAGTGACAATTCATCATTTATTTTCCTATTTTGGTTACATTGTGAATGAGTGTTTGCTTATTTTGCGATTTTTCTGCTTGAATGTTGTTCCATTATGGACAAGATGTATTCTTCACAGTCTAGATTTATCCTTATTTTATATTTCGAATATTGGACCAAACGTATACTGATTTGAATATTCAGTGAATCATTCCAGCTTAAAAGTATTTATTATTTTCCAAAATGCTGATCATTCGGACACACAAATCAATGCCAATACCATCAGGTCAAAATGATATATATTAAATACGTCACATATCAGGATATTCAGACCACTTCATGTATTTTTGATTGACGAAAACATAAATTATATTCATGTAGACGTTGTAATAAATACCTCTGCGAAAACGATACCACATTTTATTCGGACCTCCTCGGATCTTTCTAAGAGATTCAATCTAAGAATTATATAGAATGATTTTTTTCTTCATTGCGAAAAGAGTCCAATATAGGATCAGAAGACCGAATGAGGTATTGGAATGGTGATTCCAACGGCATGCATTTCAGGTGCATTTTACGAAATTCTGCGATCTAGTTAACCGTCTAATATCCATCCACAGCTATAGAGTGATTACCTTACATTCGGATCACCTACGTTATTTATAAGGGATTCAATCTAAGAATTATATTGAGTCAATCTTTCTTCATTGCAAAATTGCAAAAAGAGTCAAATATAGGATCAGGAGACCGAACTAAATATTGGAATGGCAGGCAGGCTTTTCAGGCACATTTTACGAAATTCTGCGATCTAGTTAACCGTCTAATTTCCATCCACTGCTATGGAGTCATTACCTTATCCTCTTGATTGTTGCGTCCTCTACCGTCTCGATTAATATATCAATCTTAGATCTATAGTAAGTAGACTAAGTCAAGTATAAGATAACTTATCTTTCCCATTATTATGACCGGCATCTGCAGTTTTCCTGTCTTCCTGTGCACTCCCACTGACCTCACTAGCGTCTCCTAACATTTGCTTCTAACCGAGGTCGAGGAAACGCTAAGAACAAAAACGAGAAAAAGTATATATTTTAGATATGTTCATTGAGACGTGCACTAAATTCAGTCTCAGAAAGATTACAAAACGCGAAATGTATTCCGTAAAAAACAAAGTTGAATGATTTGTTCCTATAGATATAATCAGGCGGTATTAAGAGTTCAGCGGTGATAGCCGTGATCGTATAGTGGTTAGTACTTCGCGTTGTGGCCGCGACAACCCAGGTTCGAATCCTGGTCACGGCAAATATGTATGTCGCGAACATGGCATAGCTGAGCAAATATTTTTTGTTACAATAAAAATCACCTTCCAAATCAGCCTTATATTTTATAACAAACTATCATCTTATAATCCCCTATAATGTTTCTTCAAACGTCGTATCTAAAAAAAAAAAACTTGCATAGAACAAAGTAAAAGTAACAATGATATAGTTAACCGCTTCGGTGGCCTAGTGATTAGAGCATCCGCCTCAGATGCGGGAGATCATTGGTTCGATGCCTGGTTGAGTCATACCAAAAAATTACAAAACTGGTACTATCAGCTGCCTTGCTTGACGCTCAACACTAAGAGGTTAGTGTTGGGACTTGTCGGCCTGGTGTCAGGATAATATGACTGGGTGAAAAATCATGCTATATGTCTGCGCCATGATGCCCCAGTGCTAGACATCTCTATAAACTGCCACACTGCAGACATCGTAGCGATATGAATGAAACACTGTTAAAGCTATGTTAGAAATCATAATCAAATCACATCACAATGATATATTCTGGAATTCTTAAAGGCATCTCAACACCAAAATGGCTTTTTGGTACCACTGGAATGTAACGTCCAAGAAATGTGCAAATTAAAATTTACTCAAAATCGCTCCATCTTACATCCATATAAATGCATGTAAATTTGAAGAATTGTAAGATAAAATATAAAACTTAATAAATCTGCCTACATCGTATGTGTGATTACATCGATTAGAAGGTATTATGTCAGTATACGGAAGGATCCATTTTTCGTTCGTCTGGGATAATATGATACCTCGCTTTCTCAGTAGATATACTTTGTGAAGACAGTGCACCCGGGGAATTTCTTTGTCACTCATTGAGCATCGGATAAAACATCCGTAACTAAATGTTATAATTCGTATACAACCATATTAATGACCTGTATAACCAGAGTAGACCTTCTGTGTTCTATTCCTCAAACTGTGTCATGGCTCTTATTAAAGCCAGGCCTATTTCGCATTAGTCTCTTCAAACCTGGCCTCCTCCACAACAAAACTAAACATACAACCGTCATTACAGAGATTTCAGCCAAGCAGTTATGTAAACAAGAGAAATGCAAAGAAATAGTTTCATATTTGGAAATTTGAACTCGTTTTCTTATGTCCATATCTGAACTAGGATTAAAATCATGTGTTGCTAAGGGACGATATGGTGCACGCTCTGTCAACTATAGCAGATAAAATAAATCGTCGGCACATGACGAACAGTATGTCACTAGAATAATAACATATATGCATTAAGCTTTTCATTTTGATGTTGAATATGCGGACTGACAATATTCTGTCCAGAGAAGCTCCCATTTCCTAGGGATAACTTAAGAATGAGTGGTACTATCCAAAGCTCTGAAATGTATTTCTTTCACAAAATTGGATACAAGGTTATGTTGGCAGCTCCTTGATATTACATTTAACCTGTTTATCATTCTCTATTAATTCCATGTGATGCTATAAACTTTCTCCAAGCCAATAATGATCGCTGCTATCTTTGTGAACAATCTTTGATGAATACTTCAATTATAACAATACGATCTATGGTTCTCTCCAGGAGTCTGAATCCACACCGACAGCCTGACAATATTTTCTTTTAGTCCATCATTTATCACCCGTTGCATCGTTTTGCAAACATAGCTTGACAGCGGCATGGGACGAGAGTTGGAAGGTTCCGTACGGTCTTTCTAGGCTTCAGTATTGATATCAATGATCACTCACACGAAGACGGAGGGAAGTTGCCAGCGTCCCCAATTGTATTGAATATGATTAGCAGTGTATTAAGAGATGTAGTAAGTAAGTGTTTTAATGGTCGATATTGGCTACCATCTCATCACTCTGCAGTGTCATTGACCCGATCGAGAGAATCGAGTACTTCTCTTACACTGAGCAATTTATTATTTTATTTAACATTGGTAGATTTGAATTTCCAAGATATAACGTGGCATTCGGTATAGAATATGAGATTTTTGAGCATCTCTGTCTCTCTGAACTCAGTCCATATCTACAGATCATTCGAATGCTCCGTGGAATGTGGGGTGGAAAAATATATTGGTAACACGGACCTGAAATGACTACCAAACGATTCCCATTCAAATGTTTGCTAAATCTGTTCGGATAGACTTCAAATATTTGTCGATATTAATGAATTTATCAATCACCCGTTTACTATGCGTTGCTTTTAATATTGCTACAGACGCTAAGCCGCACTGAAGACATCCCGAACTCCGTCACCTTTACCTAGCGTCAACTGTAAATAAAATTAAAGAGGCTGTGCGTACATTTTATTGTCGATTTAAGACTCAGATGAATCAAAATGACTATAGGATTTTCTTTTTCATTTGTAACTTCAAACGCATAATGACCAAAAATGTTCATTCATTACTTCAGATAAAGAATGTCAATCAATCTGGATTTCATTTTCAGTTCAATAATTCTTTTTTTTTTTTTTTTGCTAATTTTCTTTTGGGTAATGTGCTTAGGTATCTATGAAAATCTCAGACATGTAAGCAGGACTTGCGACACAATATTAATAAATGGGGCTAATTTAATTTAGATGAATTAGGACAGGCCGGTTGATTGATACGTAAACGCTTTCCGTACTTGGTATAACAATCCTTGTCTTTGTTTCTTATCAATTTAGCGTCCAACAAGTCCACTTGAATAATAGCGCATAGATAATGCAATGTCGCGTGTAGTGATCGTTCATTTTTTTTTTTACTATTTATATTACATTGTGAGTGAGAGTTTGCATGTTAGTCGATTTAGCTGCTTTAATATGGTTCCATTATGGACAAGATGTAATCTCCACAGTCTAGATTTATCCTTATTTTATATTTCGAATATTGGACCAAACATATACTGATTCGAATATTCAGTGAATCATTCCAGCTTAAAAGTATATATTATTTTCCAAAATACTGATTATTCTACACACAAATCAATACCAATACCATCAGGTCAAAATGATATATCTTTAATACGTCACATATCAGGATATTCTGACCACTTCATGTATTTTTGATTGATGCAAACATAGATCATATTCATGTAGACGTTGTAATAAATACCTGCGTGAAAACGATACCACATTTTATTCGGACCACCTCGGCTATTTCTAAGAGATTCAATTTAAGAATTATATAGAATAAATTTTTCTTCATTGCGAAAAGAGTCAAATATAGGATCAGTAGACCGAATTCAAAATTGAAATGGTGATTCCAACGGCATGCATTTCAGGCACATTTTACGAAATTCTGCGACCTAATTAACCGTCTAATATCCATGCACTGCTATCCAGTCATTACCTTATCCTCTTGATTGGTGCGTCCTCTACCGTCTTGATTAAGATATCAATCTTAGATCTATAGTGGGAATACTAAGCCTAGTATAAGATTACTTATCTTTCCCATTATTCTCACCGCAATCTGCAGTTTTCCTGTCTTCCAGTGCACTCCCACTGCCCTCACTAGCGTCTCTTAACATTTGCTTCTAACCGAGGTCGAGGAAATGCTGAGAAAAAAAAACGAGAAATAGTATATATTTTAGATATGTTCATTGAGACATGCACTAAATTCAGTCTCAGAAAGATTACAAAACGCGAAATGTATTCCGTAGAAAACAAAGTTGAATGATTTGCTCCTATAGATATAATCAGGTGGTATTAACAGTTCAGCGGTGATAGCCGTGATCGTATAGTGGTTAGTACTTCGCGTTGTGGCCGCGACAACCCAGGTTCGAATCCTGGTCACGGCAAATATGTATGTCGCGAACATGGCATAGCTGAGCAGATATTTTTTATTACAATAAAAATCACCTCCCAAATCAGCCTTATATTTTATAACAAACTATCATCTTATAATCCCCTATAATGTTTCTTCAAAGGTCGTATCTAAAAAAAAAAAGAAAGGAAACGTAGCAATGATATATTTAACTACTTCGGTGGCCTAGTGATTAGAGATTCCGCCTCAGATGCGGGAGATCATTGGTTCGATCCCCGGTTGAGTCATACCAAAAAATTACAAAAATGGTACTATCAGCTGCCTCGCTTGACGCTCAACACTAAGAGGTTAGTGTTAGGACTTGTCGGCCTGGTGTCAGGATAATATGACTGGGTGAGAAATCATGCTATATGTCTGCGCCATGATGCCCCAGTGCTAGACGTCTCTATAAACTGCCACACTGCAGACATCGTAGCGATATGAATGAAACACTGTTAAAGCTATGTTAAAAATCATAATCAAATCACATCTCAATGATATATTCTGGAATTCTTAAAGGCATCTCAACACCAAAATGGCTATTTGGTACCACTGGAAAGGAACGTCTAAGAAATGTGCAAATTAAAATTTACTCAAAATCGCTCCATCTTACATCCATACAAATGCATGTAAATTTGAAGAATTGCAAGATAAAATATAAAACTTAATAAATCTGCCTACATCGTATGTGTGATTACATCGATTAGAAGGTATTATATCAGTATATGGAAGGATCCATTTTTCGTTCGTCTCGGTTAATATGATACCTCGCTCCCTCAGTAAATATACTGTGTGAAGATAATGCACCCAGGGAATTTCCTTGTCACTGTGCATCAGATAAAACATCCCCAAGTATGTGTTATAATTCGTATACAATCTTCTTAATGACTTGTATAACCAGAGTAGACCCAGTGTTCTACTCCTGGTACTGTGCCATGGCTCTTATTAAATCCAGGACTATTTGGCATTAGTCCCTACAAATCTGGCCTCCTCCACAACAAAACTAAACATACAGCCATCATTACAGAGTCTTGAGAAAAGAAGGTAGGTAAACAAGAAAAATGCAAAAAACAAGTTTCATATTTGAAAAACTGAACTCGTTTTCTTATGTCCATATCTGAACTAGGATTAAAATTATGTGTTGCTGACGGACGATATGATGCACGCTGTTTCATCTATAGCAGATAAAATAAATCTGACGAACAGTCAGTCACTAGAATAATACTATACATTAGGATTTTCAATTTGATGTTGAATATGGGGGCTGACAATATTCTGTCCAGAGAAGCTCCCATTTCCTTGGGATAACTTAAGAATGAGTGGTACTATCCAGAGCTCTAAAATGTATTTCTTTCACAAAATTGGATACTAGGTTATGTTGGCAGCCCCTTGGTCTTACATTTACCTGTCTTTCATTATACATTAATTCCAGGTGATGCTGTAAACTGTCGCCAAGCCAATAATGATGGCGACTATCTTTGTGAACA